TGGTCGAGTCTGATTCAATATATCTAATGGTCGAGACTGATTCAATATATCTAATGGTCGAGTCTGATTCAATATATCTAATGGTCGAGACTGATTCAATATATCTAACGGTCGAGTCTGATTCAATTTGTTTTTTCGTGTATAGTTTAAACATTTGTACATAAATCAGGCCGTTAGTTTTCGCGTTTCAATTGTCTTACATTTGTAGTTTATTTATGGGTAGGGTTGTTTGAGCGTATACATTTCTGCTATTTTATGTTTTTGGCACCCTATTTATACCTACTTAAACATATGTTTTTTCCGAAATTAAAGCTTTTTTGTTAATAATAATATCCGAAGAATTTTTTTTTATGTTTCCTAGGTTACTGGTTAGCCGTTTTGAGTGTAAAATTCCGCTAATAGAATGTTTATGGTTATATACTAAACGCTGCAGTACAGATATAGGAAGATGTGGTATGAGTGCCAATGAGACAACTCTCCATCCAAGTTACAATTTATAAAAGTAAACCATTATAGGTCAAGGTACGGCCTTCAACACGGAGCATTGGCTCACACCGAACAGCAAGCTATAAAGGGTCCCAAAATATTACTAGTGTAAAACCATTCAAACGGGAAAACCAACGGTCTAATCTATATAAAAACGAGAAACGAGAAACACGTATGAACTACATAAACAGACGACAACTACTGTAATCAGATTCCTGACTTAGGACAGGTGCAAACATTTGCAGCGGGATTAAACGTTTTAATGGTACCAAACCTTCTCCCTTTTCTGAAACAATAGTATAACATCACAACATAGAAAAACACACTATAAACTATCAATTGGAAAGCTTAACTCAATCAAAAAACAGTACACGTACTGTATATAATATACATATATTGTCGGGAAATATATAACTTGTACTCGCTATACGAACTGACTGCAGTACCAATACATTTACAGAAACTGCCCTTTCTGTTTCTTTAGCAAGCACAAACAATATTTATATTTTCCGACAATGTATGTATATAGTGTCTATTTACATTACGTTATACATTTCAGTTACAACGATCTTACCCAGGGTCAGAATATAAAATGTTTTTCATTCAGAAATGGAAGGCAAACAATATTGGAAATAAATTGTACACTTAAAGTAATACTATTCTAAAAAAAAAAAATTAAGAACATATCACTTGTACATGTTGTATTATGTCATACAGATTTATTTTTAAGGTCATGTATACATAGTAACTATAATCATAAAATGAAAGGAGATACGGTTTTTCCCAGTTTTATAAATAGTTCTTCATATATAAAATGGATTCAAATGTGTACACGATTTTATATGGTAATAAAAGTCATCAGGAAATTAAAGAGGAATGTGGTTTTAACCTTCTCTCGACTTATTTAGATGATTTAGACAAGACGCTATTGAGAACTGATGATAAACAGGAGGATGAAGAACTCCGCGAGGCAGTAACAGAAATGATTTGGAGTATCCTGACGGGCGTCAAACAAGTTGATCCTTGTTTCGAAGTGATTAAACTTCAGTCCGTGGGAAGTATTGCAGAAGGAACAAAACTAAAGAGACCAGATGAATTTGATTTCGTGGTTTTGGTGCGATGTTTTGATGAGTCGAAAGACAATGATTGTGTAACGGTCATAGATGAGTGTGGAAATTCTGGAACTGCACACATTCGTTGTTCTTCGTCATCGAATCTCAATGTAGAGATTCTCGCCGACGACGAAGAGGAACGTGTAACTAATGTTGAAAATCCACCTTTCCGATATGTATCGCCGGTGAAATTTCGGATTCGATTTTGGAATTTATTTACTTCCGTGGCAGTGCATATGTCGAAAAATAAGCAAAGCATAAGCAAACCGATGGGATATCTCACTCTTGTAGAGGAAGTTGCGCAACATTTAGATATGTTTGTGAAGGGACCAAACGTAGAAATTGAAATGATTTGGACATCTGCATCTAAAGGTGAGCGACATGGCATCTGCATCGACGTAACTCCAGCAATTCGAGTATTTTCAGATTCAATTCCTTTTGTAGGATTAAACTATCGTTTTGTAGAAAATGCACTTGTAAATACAGGTAAACATTTTAGTGATATTTGTTTAGTACCAGCTGTAAATATGGACTGTAAGCTCGGAGGTCATGCAGATCCATACCAGAAATTGTGTTGGAGGCTGTCCTTGTCAACCATTGAGACAGAGATGATACGAAGTATGGATAGTACACACAAGAAATGCTTCCGAATTCTTAAATTTCTAAAATCAAATCAAAGGGACGCTGTAGAGAGCATGAAACAACTTGGTTTGAATATTACCGCGGACCGATTTTCATCTGTCGTAATTCGCATGTACCATGATGAAACTCACGTGCTGACAACGTATATGCTTAAAGCAGTTCTTTTGCATCACAATTTACGATGTATAGACGAAAGCAAAAATTTAGCAAAGTGTATGATGGAAATGCTTATATTTCTTAATGACTGCATAGATAAACGGTCACTTTCAAGTTATTTTCTTAAAGGTAAAAAACTTATGGTCGCAAGGAGGGTCAGCTCTTCCCGTATTTCTTTTAAAACCCAGCATCGAAAGATTGTTTGGCATGTTCAATGAAGTGATTGTAAAAAAACAAATTTCTTTTCAGACTTTCTGTGACAAGTTTCAAGATATACAATCTTACTTGACTGAAAATGATGGAGTCTAAATAGCGATTTTTGTTTCGGTTGTCATAAACTGATAACATGTTAATTGGGTTGGACATATGCTTCTGGAGAAACTGAAAAGTATAAGTTATATGAAACATTTATAAATTCCATCACAGGTGTTTCTATTTTATTCATGTAACTTTTCAGAGTGTTGCTTACGCCCACTCTAAATAAAAATCACTCAAACGAATTGTTTAATTACATGTACATGTATAAGCTAATAAATTATGTGTAGGCTTTCGCCGTAGAAACTGGTTGTACTATGAGTTATTGTAAAGTTAACTATGATTGGCAAATGCATATCAATTAAAATGAAGTTTTGGTACAAAAATAAAATTGAAGTGATCTGAAATTTCCATGCATCCTTTACCATGCTTACGCATAATGAATGGATGAAGGGAAGTACTTGTGGTGATTTTCAAACAAAGACAAACATGTACAGCTTTTAAGACACTAACAATTCGACTGATTTCTACAAACTTGAAAACTTAAAAGTTGAAATGAATAACATATTATCATTTTGAATAATGATTTAGATTGATTATATCACTAACAACATCTTTGAGTACATATTTTCTTTTGTCAAATGCAAATGCAAAAAACAAGAACAAACGAAAAACACGCTTTATAAATTATATATCAGTCCTAATCGGAATTATCTTCACCACGAACGCTCAAAGTCAAATATATGAAAGTCAAAGATGTATAAATACCGAAACACGTGAAGAGGTAAACGCGAAGAGACAAACTTGAAGAGTTAGACGTGAAGAGCTTATTTTGCAAGCTAGTCTAAGTGATAAAACCTCGTTGTTATTTATATATTAGCTTCATTACAATCCATTTTCTATTTGTTAAATTTTCTTTCATATGTTTTCGTTGTCTGAAATTTCAAAGATCTTCTGAGGAATCGACACGCATATTGAATTGAAATATTGTAGGGATGGCCTTTTACTAATTTTGAGTTTTTGCTGCCAATCCAAACCCAAAATGGCCACCGCTATCATGAACTATGTTGTTTTCTATTTTTATGTTTTGTTATCTAGTCTTGTATTGAGAATAGAATAAAAAAAATATACCGAAAGCAGCTTACAACTTCAATGCCTCTATAGTTTTGGGTTGTCTGATTTGAATATTGAAACTACAAAACTTTCTCTCCATTTATTGGGTTAATACCCTGAAGATAGTTAAGCATCATATAATTTATGTGAACATTTAACAATAAAAGACTGTGCAGTTTAAACATTCCATTGCAAAGTCCGTCCATATCTGCACTTTTGTTGTTGAAAACAAACAACTGCATTTATTTCATTATATGTTCTTTCTGAAATCTAGATTTAATTAAATTATATTTCATTGATTTATTTTTCATTTACTATTTTTTGTTGAGTTCAATTTTCATCGTATAAACTTTTTATTACCAAAACAAGCGTATATTCCAGTTACATGAACTAATCCTGGTCGACCGATTTTGCAGAGCTCACTTATTGGATTTATCGTTCATTTGTTTTAGTCCTGAATATGAATGAATCATCGAGTAATGGGCATTATATTTTATGCATCATGAATTACTCGGGCAGATGATTATCCATTTGATTCCTTGCATTGGTCAATGGATGAATCTTATTACTTGAAGTTCGACTTAGGTCAACAAAAATGCAGTTTTAAACATCTATTTTGTAACATATACTAGTAGTGTGTTCTAATTCAACTTCAATTGTTATGCAATTTCTTTTTTAATACCGCCTGATGGTCTACATTTGTACTTACCTGAACCGCCGTTAAACAACTCCAAGTAATAAACTTTTCTGCAACTAGTAAATCGAATAATCAAAGCCATCGCCGTCTTCGATCACGCCTCTTTTTGAGTAATAGAGCGACCGTAGTAAGCGGAATATGAGTACTGGATTATTCGGGTTATGCAAACAGTGTGATAAAGCCAGATATGCATATTCAGGCATGATATTTTGGAATGTTATGTCCTCGATGCTCTTCATCTTCGTACATTATTTGGGCTTTTTAACTTTTTTTTTATCTGAGCGTCACTGATGAGTCTTTTTTAACGACCGACGTAAACAAATATAAGATCTTATAATCCTATATTTTAAGTGACTTGTTTTCCAAAAGTAATAGTGGAACGTAAAATTGGGAACCATGGAATATTTATAATTATTAGGAGATACATAATACTTTTTTCTGGAATAAACAAACTCATTTTAACATTTATATATTATATTTTATGTGTGCTTATATTCTGCAAATTATATAAAAGATAGATATAATAACATTTAAACAAATAATGGTTAACAGTTTAATAAAAAAATACTGGTCATTAAAATTCTCTTTAACAAGAAAACTGTTCAACAACATCTAATTATATGGATCATTTCAAAAATTGTAAGAAATGCACATATAAAGAAATACTGTTTTGTAATTTATTATATATACATATATGCATTTACATGTAAAGTGTACTCAAGGGTTTAACTTGAATTTTTTTTTTATCACATTTAACAAATATCACAGTATCACAAACGATTACCCAGACACACTATCACAGTAATTTTTCGACACACTATCACAGTAATTTTGATGTAGCTACACCAGTCATGGAAACATTTTTACCCTGCAAACAGCCAACTTTTGTACAAATAACAAAATAAATATTTGCCTCCTGTTACTCCGCTTCCATGTTGAGCAAACGGTAATGTGAATATTTCTTTTTGGATAACAGTTCATTTTGGTGTTCTCTTCGCGGTCCGCGTTTGAACTATGTCTATTTCTTTTAAAAACAAGAGACAACTGTTTGGAGTTAAAAAAACTAAACCTTACAGTGCAGGGTGTAAATTACAGGATAAAAACAATATATGTGTATTGTCGGAAATATGAAATTTATTTGAACTCGCTACGAAACAGGAGAAAAGATCGTCGATCCTCGCTTTTCGTCCTGTTTCTAAAGCTCATACATTTTTTTTTATATTTTGCAACAATGTACATATATTGTATACATATCAGTACTTTGAAAAGGGCATATCTCTTTATATGGACGCCATAGCGCAAATCCAGCGCAAAAAGTTGGAAAAAAAAGGTGCTCATTGTAATTACTGATACAACATACAATGAAGTTTAATAGCTGATAAACATTATTTCCAGGAGTGTTTCAAAAAAATAATCATAATAACAAAAGACAAAAGGTTACTTTGCACATGATTTGCCAATACATGAAAATTTCACATATTTGCAATAACTTTTATAAGCATGATAAGCACTAAGACGATTGTTGTGATCATGATTATCCCAGTGTCCAATCGTTTCTGACGAACATCTACTGATAACACGTAATGCTTCAGAATGTTGAGAATGGCCCTAAAACATGAGATTTCTCCCTCCTTAAACTTCTAATCGTAAAGGCAGGTTTATTCGTTTTGTTGGCATCAAATCTAGGTGTGTAAGCAGCTGGACCTGGCGTTTTCCCTAAATATGAAAAAATGACATGATTATAAGAACACAAATAAGTTAGCTTGACGCTGACACCATGAAACAAACACCAGATGAAAGATATTGTATTTGGCATAATTAATACATATTGGTTTTATGACATACATAAACATAACTTGATTTTAAAGAGCCAACTCATTTCCTTTACGTTTTTCTGCATCATTTTTCATTGCTGTTTATTTGTCAAATGACTGATGTACGTTACTCTTTGAAACATGTTAATTTATACTGATTTTTAAACAGATATAGATGCTATAAATAATCTAATATTTTTAAAGCTCATTAAGAAAGTTTCATCACATTCTTAATCTCTAACGGCGATACAGCCCTTTTTTGCTGACATGTAAGTTAAACTGTTTTATTTTTATTTTTAAAAGGATGATGGGGGAAATCGAACTGGAATTTTTTTTTACAGTGCGATTTCCCCCCTCCACTATTCCCCTCGGCCTTTTTGCTTCTGTTTTGTACATAAAGCATGAGGAGATGTATTTGGGAAGGTCTATGGGGGTAAAACATACACGTAATGCACTGTCCATATTGGGGACTATATTTCGTTGGTCAGTATTGTGTAATCAAAGATACCCGTTCGCGTGTAATTAAGTATGCGGATGTAAGCATTCTCAATTACGCCTGTTAAAAATTGTTTTATCACATTTTTAAAAGGGACTGACACTGATGAAGGCCATTTGTTGGGTCAAAATATCGGTTTCATTTTAATTTGTTCGTATATCATAGTTTTTATCTTTTATCAATATCGTTGCACACATCTTTAGACTTATAATATTCTCTAACTCCACATTATCTGTCTATGATTCCAAAATTAAAGGGTGATCAACATCCCCAAAAAAGACAGGACGCAGTTATTATAGCATTACGTTCATAAAACAGCTGAATGAAAATAAATATACTTACCAGGGTGAGCCCAGAGAACCGTCCCTGATCTCCGGAACTGATGGGAATATGCTGGTGCTTTATTGAATGTAGCTTTATCTGCTGATGATTTTTCGTAGCTGTTGGGTGATGGTTCTTTGTCTGCACCTAAAAAATTGGCAAAAAGATGGGAAGAAAAAGTTGAATTATTATTGATTTTACATCCCTTCGTGAGCAAAGAAATATGTATTGGTAGTGCAATCTAGAAGATAAACCATATACAAACATCCATTGATAGTTCTTGTAAAAATCACTTCACTATAAATCCGAAAAGGGTGTCATTAGTGACTTTAAAACTTCATTTAAGTGAAGCAGTTGCGTGTCTAGGCTCTTTATCACCAAATCGCCTAGCCTCTAAAATTTTGTTTGCGCTTTTAATGCCAACAGTATACTAGTATGTAAAGAAACGTATTATATATTCAAAAAATGAAAAAAACAAGTGAAACTGCGAGCTACTGCTCACTGACGATACCCCTAGCCCAAATACTTGACGGTAAACAGGAAGTTGTTGAGTGATGAATCTGAAAACTCATCACACGGTAAAGCTGACTTATATAAACACTGAAACCAAATTTCAGAAATCCTTGTAATGTAGTTCCTGAGAAAAATGTGACGAAAATATTCAACTTGGATGTGTTGTGTAAAATGGTGTAAGTGTTCGGTAAACAGGAAGTTGTTGAGTGATCAATCTGAAAACGCACCACACGGTATAGATGACTTGTATAAACCCTGAAACCAAATTTCAGAAATCCTTGTATTGTAGTTCCTGAAAAAGATGTGACGAAAAATTTTCATGGGACGGATGGACGGACTGACGGACTGACAGACTGACGGATGGACGGATGGATGGACAAACAGAGGTAAAACAGTATACCCCCAAGTTTTTTAAAGCGGGGGTATAACAATGGAGTCATAAAATAACAACTTAAACAATCTAAAACTAGCCATAGCTGTTCCTGTGGCTGTTATAAACTGTATATATATCTTTTTGAGTTGTGACGTTAATGCCATCAGTGCCGAAGAGCCTACTACTAAGTAGATTTTTTTTATTCGTGAATTGTTAAACCATTAGCAGAGTGTAAATGGTCCATCTCCAGATTTTTCTGTTTTAAATAGTATATAGTGATGTATCTCGTATAATTATAGAAAAATTATTGTTATTATTCTCATCATTTTTCATCATTTCCGCTCATTGATTGCTTATATGTCATTGTGTTTCTCTATTCTTAAAATTGAAACCAATTTTGCTTGATAATTACAATATAGTTTTTTTTCAGGATTGTGAAAAATATACAGATGTTGTCATCCATTTTAATCATAAAAAGATAAAAATATTACATTTCTTAAAAAAATTCTGATTTCTTGACATTAAAAATATATCATTGTAAAAAAAAAATGCACATACACAGAAGAAATGTCCTCTCTTTATAATGTGTACAAGTATATAAAATAAAAAGTTTAACACGGATGGTTCATACATACAATTTCTGAAAATTTAGAAAATTGTGAGCTAGAACACAATTATATCACAAAATATTATAGCTAATGTAAAAATAAATTTAATGCAAATATTTCAATTGCTCAAATTTTCCGCAAATTTTCTTATGGCAGGTTGGTGTATTTGAGCAATTAAAACAATTATTGCACTCCGGCCGCCACTGAACTTGCGACGAACTAACTAGTTTTCTCCCTTTAAAGACATAGATATCGAAATCTCTTCAAATACAATAATTGGTACACATTTACCTTTCTTCTCTAAGTTAAAGTTTTTCCTATTTCCTATTGTAAAACTTGGAGCTTCTGAAAAGGTTCTTTGCTTTGGACCAAGTAATGGTCTCTGTTTATATATATTTGGTGACGGCCACTTAAAAGAGAAAATTGATATTTAATAATAAAATAAATCAGAATAATAGTGTTTTAAATAATAATAATAATAATAATAATAATAATAATCATAATCATAATAGTAACTATTATTATTAATATTATATAATCTATTAAGTGTTGGAATAATAATAATAATAATAATAATAATAATAATAATAATAATAATAATTAATATTATATAATCTATTAAGTGTTGGAATAAAAAAAAATCACTTTTTAAATGTTTTCATTTTTAATTAGACGATTTAAAAGCTCAATAGAATCATTTTTACGATACCGACATTAGTACGCACGCCACATGTTCTAGACTGATTAACTTTCATCGGGTTCACTCGACAAGCCTCGCGTTCTAAATTTAAATATCTAACTGATTGAGTTGAGAAATGTCGTATCATATCACACTCGATGTGGTGGCCGAATCTATTTTTCTATGCCGCGAATTTTTACTTTCAATGACTTACACTGGTATCATTATAGAAGTCAACTTTAGTTTGCCATATATGTGGTGTTTGGAACCATGTTTTCTCCCAGGATGTCCTACATCCACCCTCTGAAAATAGAAATTTCTACATTACAATCGTCATGAATTATTTGATTCAGTTATTACGAGTAAGTTTTAAAATATAGTAAAAATATTTTTACCTGAACCCTGTCGGAACTTTAGGATACGAACTTTAGGATATGTTACACCTTTCGGAATTTTTGGTTCTCAAAGCTCTTCAACTTCGTACTTTATTTTGACTTTTAACTTTTTTGATTCGAGCGTCACTGATGAGTCTTTTGTAGCAAAACGCGCTTCTGGCGTACAAAATTATAAGCCAGGGGCCTGTTTATCGAAACTGTCCTAAGATCGGTCCTAAGAATTTATTAGGACAGAAATTAGGATAAAGTTAGGACCGACTTACGACATGTCTCAGCATGCACATCGAAGCTATCTTATGATTATCTTAGCTCGGATGTCCTAACCGCTGTCCTAAGTATTGGCGTAAAAGAAAATAACAAATTAAAAATGAAAAAATGAAAATATTGTATCAAATTTAACCAATAACTATAATATGAAAAAAGGTAAATAATTAGAAAATAATTATTAGTTTTAAATTAAAGGTGATAAATACTTTTTATATTATAATTGTACATTTAAACTCATAAAACAAAACATAAGACAAAAATATAACTCCGTTTTATAGAAGAATTGAAACAAACGAATTGTAAATAGTTAAAATAAAATATATAACCGGTAAAATCATTATATGCTTTGAGTGAGCTGAATTCGAAGTGTCACGGTTTCATACTTAAAAGTTCAAAGGCAAATCTCGTGCATCTTTCATATAAATACTGAGTACTTCAACTATTATATTACTGCAAATAACATGCGATGATACGTGTGAATATAAGAGACGAAATTCGAATTCTACCGATGCAAAACTACAGACTCTCCTGGACGACGTGGACAAGAGTAACACTTTGCTTTTTGGTAAATTGCCAAATGTTGCAGCAAATGGTCCTGAAAAGAGGGATAGGGATTTAATATAGGGAACTACCATTTGATTTTTATGGGGGGCGACTAGGATGAAATTTGAAAAAAAAAGGCAGGACACGAGTTTGGAGTAAAAAAAAAGGCAGGATGAGTAACTTTGTTAAAAAAAGAAAAGCAAGATGACAATTTAGGTAAAAAAAAGTCAGGATAAACTAATAAAATAAAGGCAGGACAGGAGTTTGGGAGTAAAAAAAAAATGCAGGATGAGGAACTTTGCAAAAAAAAAAAAAAGCAGGATGACAATTTACATGTATTTAAAAAAAAACGTCAGGATAAACTAATAAAAAAAGGCAGGACCGAATAGAGTGAAAAATAAAAAGGAAGGACAGAGATTACAACAACAAAAAAAGCAGAACAACATTTTTCATCCTAATAATAAAAAAATAGATACAAGAAAAAAAACCCAATTTTATGCCATAAAAATACAAAAAAAGTAATACATAAAAGTTATAATTTACCTCTCTCGGGATCACATTTTCCACCAAAAGTCCAAACTGGAGCATTAGTCTCGTTGAGAGGTTTAACATTATGCGCTGAATATGTACATGGCCCAGGCCCCTCCATATCAATCCTTAGAGGTGGTCGGGCATTACTAGCCTCATCCCATGTAATTACTTTCGGTGGTTTCTTTGGTTCTTCATAGTAAAGACTGGCCATTTGACCACGAGACTGTGGTTTAGTTCTGTAAAGAAAGAAATTAATTGAATAAGTGGAATTATGATAACTTTGGTCATTCTATCATTTTTGTAATATTCCGTTTGTAAAGCTTACATAAAAATTGCTGTTAGGTAATCTGATATTTTCTCTACAACAAGTAAGATAACAGTTCACAAGAAGTCAGTAATCGTTTGTGTAGATGTATTATTGAAAACTACCCTATCCATTTTAAAAGACGTTTTACTGGCAAGTGTGTATGAAAAGACAATTGTTTGCTATATGAACATAAAAATATCATTCAGATAAGGAAGGAGGTGAATAATGTCATATATTTTGGAGATTCTGTGAAAGAGAGACGAAAGATACCAAAGGGACATAAAAACTCGAAAACAAACTGACAACGCCATGTCAAATTTCGTCAGTTTGGTAGCAGACGTTACGGATGCCTGTTCCTTTTATCGGAATATCAAAGTCCATGTTTTAGAAATATCTATCCGAAAAATTATTCGGAAAGAAAAAATAAGTAAGATGTGCACGAGACAATTGTGTGCTATAAATTATCAATAATTTTCATTGATGTTCATTCACTGGTTTAAGCAGGGTTTGGACACAACTATCACGTTACAACTCCAATCAGTAGGTAGGAGATATACTAATCAATGCATTATGACATAAAGTAAGAAAAATGCTGTGAAAGTGTAAAGTTATTACCGTCAGTCCATCTAGAGTCGCAACAAACACAAGATGCAAACTCCCTTTGTTAGTGTAGCATTGTCCATGGTTTGCTACACGAACTCTAAAATCAGTTTGTTTCAAAAACAAAATAAAAGGTGCAAACTTTGATTCATTGATGAAAGTTTCATTGGAATCTAGTCATTTGTTTAGGAGTTGGGGATACAAAGATTGAAAGATTAACCAACGAAAAACCGGACACAACGATCTCTCTACAGCCGTTCTTTCCAATTTTAAGTACTGTTGACCTTAGATGAATTTAATCATTTCCATTTAAATTATAATTTATTAATAATCAAATGAATTGAATAACAAGCACAGTGCAAATGCTAATCCTGTATGGATACAAGATAGACAAAACATCTTAACAAAAAAAAACAATATTTGAATTGTCCAGTCCACCAAAAATGAATCTAGGGATTATGTAAATTCAACTATATATATACTGAAACTTAATGAATAATGGTTATATATTTAATCTATATAGATCCCAAATAAAAAGTGAACTAAACTTGATACTTTGTAGGTGGGGTGACCATGGCATTTAAACACATGGTAAGCAGCACAAAAATATCAAACAGTATATAACATTAGACATTAGACAGTCCATCATATCAATGCAGATAATTTGAATTGTAAAGTTTATGTTTTGTTTTCAGTAAGACAAGAATGAAAATATAATATGTAGAAGAGGAAAGAGAGAGAAAATTAGTTCTCTATGTACACACCTGAACAAATATTTAAAAAAGAATGAATACTTGATTAAAAACTGTGGGATTTCGAAGAGCATAGTTAATATTGATATTAATATTAGATGTTATATTTTCTGTGAATTATCTAGGTGGTAATCCATACAAGACGTTATGCACAAGAATAACTTTTGATTCTTTTGTCTACTTTGAAAGGAATCTCAACCTTATTCTTAATATAATTTTGACTCAGATGTGCCTTTTTGCAGACGAGTTATTATCCTGACGGCTTTATACTGAGCTGACTCAATTAAGTCTGCCTATTCTTTAGTAAAGTTATCCCACACTACACTACCATATTCAAGAAAATATAGATGCTATATATTTTTTTCTAAATCTTTCATGTCAGTTATAAATAAGTATACCCAATATATTCAAACGTGCACAGGCTTTAGAGTAGGTAGTATAAATTGACTCTTCCATGTACCATGAGAGCTGAGGGTTAAACTTGCATGTTTATGATTAGAAGTATTTTCCATTTATAATAGTGAAATATTAAAGTCATGTGATTAAAGAACAATACAGATTTTGTAACTTCTGCATTGAAATTAGCTACCCAATTACAACCCCAATCATATACGCCAACAAAGTCAGATATAGAGAGACTATGTTGCTGTGTTTGATCGTCAACACCACAGGAAAGTGGTACATCATCTGCAAATAATTTCATTTTGTTTTAGAAAGCATTAACGATATTTTTTACAAGCAACCAATGCCGATAGTGACCAAGTATAGAGCCTTATGGGACACACTTGCATTATACCGTATTCAAGATCTTATATTTTGGGCTCTACTACTAAACGTGTCTTGCAGACGCTGAAATCATATCTTACGACTTTCCCGAATGATGTATAGTAATTTGTTGTCCTTAATTGTAAAAAAATATTTGCCACTGGACGTTAAGAAATCGCTTTAATAATCGGCAGTTTTGTATTGCTAGATAGAAGCTGATGTGTGATGTGATTTTGTCCAATAATGTCGAGTAACCGATATTTGAAAGACGTTTTCTAAAACATAAGTATCATGGTTTTACTAGTAATTTAGGTAAAACTACTAACACCTGAATTGTTGATTGATTTCGTCTCGTGAATAATTACATTTTTTTTTCAAATTCGATCTAAACTGTTACTGTCCCTACCATCTAACATAAATTTCTTATGGTTCTCATCATAAACAGTATTGCACACAATATATTACAATGAAAAGATCTAGGATAGCCGTACGTGACTAAATATCCACAAAAGCAACGAACAACTAAAGTTGTCTGCACTGTCTTAATTCACCTACACTTACACCATACATAGATGAGGGGTGGAAGGACCTTTTTCGGACATCGGGATTAAGCCTTTATTTTTGCGGGAATACGAGATTGGGTTTTTATTTTCGAGGGAATACAGGATTGAGTCTTTATTTTCGCGGGAATTCGGGATTTACCCTTATCAGGACTCTGGGATTAATGATTATTTTTTACGGGATCCGGGAAAGGATGCTTTATTTTTACGGGAATTCGGGATAGCACCCTCTCCTAGATATAGAACTGTATAGATGGTCCTATAAAGTCGAATGCAAAATAAAATAGAGAATGGAAATGGGGAATGTGTCAAAGAGACAACAATCCGACCAAAGAGTAAAAAACACAGCCGAAGGCCACCAATTGGTCTTCAACACAGCGAGAAAATCCCGCACCCGGAGGCGGACTTCAGCTGGCCTCTAAACAAAAATGTGTAATAGTTCCATGAAAATAGACGTCATACTAAACTCCTAAACATATAAATAAACTAAAATTAAAAAAACATACAAGACTAACAAAGGCCAGAGGCTCCCGACTTGAGACTGTCGCAAAAATGCGGCGGGGTTAAACATGTTTAGCGAGATCTCAACCCTCCCCCTATACCTCTAACCAATGTAGATTAAACAAACACACAGCAATACGTACAGTAAAACTCAGTTTAAAAGAAGTCCGATTCCAATGTCAGAATAGGTAACAAAAGAAACTAAGCAAAATGACAATGATACATAAATTAACAAAGGACTACTAGCAGTTACTGACATGCCAGCTCCAGACCTCAATTAAACTGATTGAAAGATTATGTTTTCATCATATAAAAATCAAGCACAATCCCTCCCGTTAGGGGTTTAGCATCATACCATCATAAAATATATGAGAAGAACATAACCCGTAGCATGCCAACAACTGGTTTTAGAATAAATGTGTTTATTTCCGATACAAAGACCCTATGAGTGAATCAATATTAATACCAAAATATGCCATCTTTAATGACCTGACAACAGTATCGTAACCATAAGGCTATTTACCATGCATATATGTGTGTAATCTGAAGCCAAGGTACATGTTAAGTAAGAACAACTTGCATTTTCTGTCGATATCAAAATATTTCCAACATGACAAAGACTTAAATTTAAATCTAATTAAACTCATAGATACCAGGCCTAAAATTTTTACGCGTTTCGTCTACAAAAGATTCATCAGTGACGCTCGAATCAAGTTAAAGGCAAAATAAAGTATTGAAAAGCATTAAGGACCAAACATTTCCACAGGGTTTGCCAGATAGAGCCGAGGTACTAGTAATCTAGTCCTAGGGTAGAAATCCTTATTGCTTCGAAAAATTCAAAGTTTTGTCAACAGTTAATTTATAATTATTACCACATCAAGGTTAGTTCATGTCGACACAGAAGTGCTGACTACTGGTCTGGTGATACCCTGTGGGAGGAAACTTCCACTAGCAGTGGCATTGACCCAGTGGTTGTAAATAAACTCATCATAGATACCAGGTCTAAAATTTTGAACGCTAGACTCGCGTTTCGTCTATTGACATACTAACAAAATGAAAACTGTACTAGAAAATGGACTCTTATGGTCATTATAACTGATTTACGAATAAATTTGAGTTAAATTTCAAACCTTGAAATACGCGAAAACATCCTTCCTGATCCTGTAGTTCTTTTAAGAGGAGAGAATCCATATATAGCAAAACATCCCTCATTATTTAATGCTTGTACGCGTCCTTTCTGCTCCATATTTTATTTTTGATGTATTCCCAACACTGTTACAGTCATAATAATCCCTAAACAACTTGCTACTTAATACTTTAAGTCTGTTTGGTATGCTTGGTGGATTTTGTATAATAATGGATATTAATATTAATTTGATTTTAAATGTACACTTTATAAATTAAGTTTAATTGACCAATTATAATCAGGATTAATTTCTAACACAATTTTGTCATCATTGAATATTTCCAACTGTGGTCTATTGTTAATTAAGCATCTATACCGTAATTACCATACATGTAAATAAAGCTGCTAAATTCAAAAGCCCGAGAGAGATGAATACCTGAGTGTTGCCCTTTAAGTATCGGTTATATACGATGTGAATTATAATACTTTTAATTCACTTGGACTCTTAGACATCCTAAGGGTACCTAGGGTTATAGCAATAAATGTATAAAATAGTTACTTCCTGCTTTATCATGACCTTGGGCCAGATAAACGAATGCGTCTTCATAAACAAGTAAATTGACAT